CTCCTTGTTCCCCCCCCAAGCCAACAGACATTCATGACAAACTTCATCTCCTAACCTGTTGAGCCTTTCCTTCTAAATGGTGCAAATCACAGTACTCTTTTTTGATCTAGAGATCTAACAGCTTCATCCTAAATGAAGGCCCAAGCAAAGTTCTGTGTCTGCATAAAGAAGAATGGACATGGTGGGGAGTAACCCAAATCTCTGCAATGTAAGGAAAAGGACATTTGTGAGTTGCCCTTTGCTTCACAACTGGTATTCCACAGGCTGTACTACTGTAATTTGCACCAGGATCAAGTTAAGATTTAATTTCTTATGACCCCATAATTAGCATATTTTTTCTGTAAATCTCTGCTCAGAAACAGTAAGAGCAGAGTGCTCATGAGCTGAGTGTTACAGAAACAAACTATGACAGTAACAAGGTCTTTGGAGATCTTCCTAGGTGCCATGTTCAGAGCAGTTCCACATTAATCCCACTCCATAATTGAGTTAGCCTGGACCATCATGACCCTCAGGAGACGAAGATGGTTGAGAGATACCTTTGCCACTCATTCCAAAATTACTCATCTGCACTCATTTGGTGCGTTGAAGTTGCACCAAATACAAAAACAAGCTCTGTTTCTTCTCTGTCACTACATACAGAAGAGAAATTTCATATAGGTCTTAACAGTGATGGCAGTTCTTTTACCTTCATGCTTGTGCTTTAGCCAGAAATCAGTAATGTATGTGGAGAATTCTAGGGTGCATCACTGTGCATTATTTATACTTAAATTTCCCCTGTTATCACTTTGCTCTTTGAAAGCCTCTTTGAAATTTTCCAACACTAATAAACATTCACATTTTTGCCAACTTTTTTTAACTTATTACCATCCAATTCAGATTGTTAATAAGAATAGGAAAAAATGATTTGTTCTCCTACAGAATATTTCCTCCACAGCTAACCTAAAAAGCAGACATAAACCCCCATGCACCCAGTAGAATAATCCATCTCTCCTATCCTCATATATGCTATAATAAAAAATAAATTGAGCTGCACAATTTTATGCTAGCCTATCACCTACCTTAATGATGAACTGTCTGTCCCCTCACCCCATTCCAACGGTAGAACTGTTATTGACTCAACTGGGCCAAGATTTCAATCTCAATGTTTATCAATAAGGCACATTCTTGAAAAGTATCAAGCTACAAAGTCTGATTTCAGACTCATGAAATGTGATATCAGACTATTCTGTATATAATGACTTTCATTATATAAACTTTTGCTTTCAGGACACCTAGAAGGAAGTCACAGAACTAGAACACAGGCAGGTTTGGATTCAAGCTAAAAACATAACTATCTTTATTAATCCTTTTGCAGGTTAGAATGAAATCCTATACAGAACTTTTTACATTACAGAAACAAGCTATGAGGGAGCTAGAGCTTTCCAACAGGTGTTTTGGTCATATGAAGCTCTCATGACAGCAGGCTGAAAGGGAGTTGTCAGCTTAAAAACAAGCCAATTAATGTAAACAAAGAGTTACATGAAAATTACTCAGGCATTAGTTTTGCCTCCAGGTTCATTTAGGTAGCTTTACAATCACTTTATAAATATAGTTTTTCCCTCCCTTTTTCTCCTGTAGATAACATGCACAAGCAGCAGGAGAAGCAATTTGTGCACAGCCTAGAGGAAAGCAGCAGTGATCCAGTGTCCAGGAATCAGTGCAACTTCTTCCCTTGATTCCTGTAGTCCCAGAGCATATAAAGTTGCCTCTTTCCAATTGCTATCAATTCTAAGGATCTTAAATTATTCTTTTAAAGTAACTATGAATACTAAATTCTAACAGAAGTGTAATTAAAATCATGGTACCACATCTGTTGATTAATAAGAGTGCCTTTGCAAATATGCCAAGTCTGTGCCTTCATACTGCCACATGTTTCAAAGCAGAGTGAAAGCAGAATCATGCAATTCCCCTCAAATGACTTTTTCCCATTTATTTCTAGTGACTAGCATCTCATAACAGCCAGCTGATGAGATTAAATGAAATCTGGGAGGCACCAAATTGACAGCACCAGAGATCTAAGGACTCTTTATAGCAACTAAGGGAAAAATAAACCAGTACTAAAGTATAAACAATTTCTCTTCCCATTGTGGCATCTTGACTTTAAGATGGAAATATCTATTAATGAGATAATTTACCTAGTGTACTCCTTAGGCTTTCTAAAGCATATAACAAAGGGGAATGTCAGCTAGCAACAGTAAATTCTGGCCCGATATCTGTGGAAGAACTAACATACATTCACTCCTTTTGTACAGATGGAAACACTATTCCCTTCAAGCACACCCCACATAGCTGTTTGCACAGGGGAAAAAAAAAGTTACTTCTGCTGCAAAATTGGTACTAAAAAATCTTCTGTTTAAAGTATGCACGTTGAGATACTTCTGAGAGAAATGAACAGCAGGTCTTGCTGGTGTTGACAACTCTTAAGGGAAAAATCTCCAGCTCACTAGACACGTGAGCTGCTGAGAGTCGCAGTAGACACAAAATATTCAACAGGAGCTAAGGAAATGAGAGGGTTCTAGCACCTGTGATGTGAGAAGAAAAAGGCATTCCCTCCCCTTTCCTGTCACGCCCCTTTGAGTAAATTCATCGCAGCTATGGGTGTGCTCCAGGCAGCAAACAGCAGGCTACTGAGACTCACGTTCCTGTCAATGCTCAGGGAGCCTCACAGCTTCCCCTGTCCCCCTCCTCTTTGGGTGAACACCTATTCTGAACCACCACAGGCACAGGACACCATGACCTCAGCTAGGGAGTCTGCTATTTCGATTGCTGTTCTTGTTTTATAAAACGGCTGTGTAAAAATATGTGGATGTCACTGTCTGATGAAAAACTAAAGCATCTTACAAAATCTTAAACATCAAACCCAGGCTACTCAAGAAGGCTGCTACCAAGGTCCAGAACAATCACGTGTCTAACTTTGCTCATTTTGTTACTATTTATTCTCATGCTTAAAAAACCTTCCAGATGTGAACCAATTAAACCCCAGATATTGGCTCAACACCACTTTCACAAACAAGAAATGTTAATGAAGAACAGTAGCCTTGACCACCATGGACAAATGATTAAAAAACATTGTAGAGATAAGTTGTTTACACTTGTGACATTAATACCTTACTGCAAAATTAAACATAAAAAACTTCAGTATAACTTTTGGCTCCTTTGTAAGCCAGCAATTTCCATGGTGTAATTTGACACAAATTCCGTATTTCTGTACAGGCCAGTGTATTAAAAAAGAAACAAGAAGCTTTCAGGATTAAATTATGAGGTTAAAATACTTTGTTTTCTAAAGCATTTTAAAGATTATATGACTTAGTAAAATTTTTTAATTACAGTTCTCTCTGAACTTTTTATCCATGGAAATTGAACATCTCCTATTTAATGAAATGGAGAGGTTTTATATGGCCTTAGTCAATAACACTGTCCACCTTCAGGACCACCCTCTAAAAATCTTCCATCTGGAAACAATTTTGAGAATCAATAAAAACAAATGTTTCTGTCAGTTATAGGACTTCTAAAAGGGGAAATTAATATGCTGGACCAATTGCATGCTCTGTATTACCCTTCCCAGTGGCCAATATATTAATATTTTCAGTGATGTCCATACATCTTAAGACTTTATTAACAGGCCCTTGTAGCTTCATATTCCTCTCTTCAAGTAGAAAAAGCCCATCAATGCCCAATAGTACTTCTGCCAACATGATTAGTAAAGGCTCTGGCTCTCTATATATGCATAAAAAAATACGTAATCCTCTATGAGCACATGCAAGCCTATTTGAAAATATTATTTAAAAGGGCTATAAGAATTTGGAGTCACTTTTGGGCTTTCTCAGTGTTTCTTCTTTGCAGGCTACTTGCAAGATGAATACAAATCCAGGCTGTGGTGATGTAGCTGGGCTGGGTTTAAGAGAGCTGGTACTAGAGAGACTTCCACCCACCTACCACTATTGCTGCTGAACTCAGTAGCACACTCTGTAAGCTCTGGTCCATACCATTTGTAAGCATCATTAGATTTCATCTAGGGCTCCTTCTGTGTCTGCTTTTTAGTAAAAAAGAAGGTCTAGTCAATAAAAAGCCTGTTTGTCACCAAGCCATGCTCTGAGGAGGAACTACTGCAGTGGACAGGCATGTAAGCAAGTCTACCCAGCCTCCAGAGATTTCTCTCTTCTTTTTTTTTTGTTCTTTTAAGTATTCTGAAAACCCTTCACTGGAAGTCATGGTGTCAAGGAATGCTAGATGGAAACTTACTTCACTTTCAATTCCTTCTACAGGCTCCTCTATAGATACAACTTTGAACGTAGTGGCACCAATGAATTCCCATGACCTCAGCATCAGTTTTTAAAAACAACATGAATCAACTGAGCTTTTCATGTTTTTTTTTTTTTTTTGTAAGAGATAACTTATGCTCAAAGCACCTATAATGGGACATACTAACAGCAGGAAAGCTTTACCTCACGAGATCCAGTGGTTGGTATTTATACCACACTCCCCAGGAAGCCCAGCACTCATAGAGCAGGTGTCTGTGGTTTTCTGCCCCGTGGGTTCTTATTGAATTCTTACTTCTGTAACTTCCCTACAACACAAATCTGGACATTAATGAACAGCAGCAGCAAAAAAGAATATCTGAGAAATCTCTGTCACTAGCGGTATGGATAACAGAAGTTATGCAAAGTCCACTCTTGTGCTTCAAAAGCTAAATACAACATTAAAAGGAGAATTTCCTCTGACCTCAGTAAGATTTGAGATTATTCTTCCTAAGAAATTTATGACAAATGGTGTTTAAGTCAAAGGCTATAAACTGAAGAATCTCAAAGAGAAAACCACAGCATGATATTTTTCCTGTGAAAACATACTGATTTATCAAACCCAAATACTTTTTACAGAATAGATCTAGAACAACACTCTCATCTCTTTCTGCAAGAAAAAAAAAATCCAAGAAAAAAGTGTTACTAAATGGGATGGATGTCAGAGCCAGACACAGAATGAAAGAGAGTAATAACATTAGTAGGATTGAGAATAAATGATTACACAACTAAGAATTTTTGTGGGGAATGTCTGTTCAAAAAGAAAAAAAAAGCTGAGAAAAATACCTCATGAAGAGGAAATGCAGCTTCATAGGAGCCGTTACTGAGCAATCGATTCAGACCTAAGAATCAAAAAGTATCCAATTATTTACCAATAGGACCAGAAAAGTTACTAAGCAAAAAAAAAAACCAAAACACATTTTCATAAGCTGGCTAAATGAAGCTTGAAGCCCATTAACAGTAAAAGATAAATGTAGAAAAGTTAATCTTTTGTAAATTTTGATGAAGATATAATACAAGCAAAGATTTGTTCAAATATTAATCATCTTTTATCATTTATTATGTCAGAAGTTTAAAGATTCATTTGTCAAATCCATCTTTAGAGTAATTTCAGTGAAATCAAGACCTCACACCAGGATTGAATTTTGACCCCATAAATCATGGTCTCAGGAAGCTATTTAGATGAAAGGCTGTTTTTCTTGGGAGCAAAAAACTTCAGAGAAGATCTTTACATTTTTGAACTGCAGGCCAGTAAAGCAACTGGAACTCTTAATCTGATAGCGACATTGTAAAACATGTTTAGTTTATGTCTTATAAAATCTGCTGGACTAAGAGATAGAATAAGAAAAAGATAGGCTGCAGTAGTATAAGACCAGAAAATATATTTGAACCTGAGTCAAAAGGACTGCTATTTGGCACAAAAAAAGTAATCACACACCCCACTCGGTCAGGCCTTGTCCCTCTTTAATGAGAACCTTGAAAGAAATAATGGATGATTGCTGAGATGTCACTTGAAAAGTCACCAAAATAGGACTGAACAACTATCAGGCAATGCAAAGCTAAATACTGGCACTAGCAGCCTGAAGGCATTTGAACCCCATGGACTGAGAGGCAAAGAGTCCTGATTCCTTTCCTAATTCACAGGGGAATGACAGCAACAAGAACACAGCAATGAGAAATACTAATTCAACTTTCAGCGACTGCATTAGTATCTGCTTGCAGAATATGCTTTCTCCCACAGTCTCTGGCAGAAAACCAAAACCTGTACAGAGCTTTGCTCTGCCCAGTCATCAGCACAAACTTATGTTCATGACAGATAAAACACAAGTAGATACGTGAGGGATCTTGAGGAAGGCAGGGACTGCTACTGTGTGTGCTAGATGCAATGTCTGCAAGCATGCATGAATTCTTCTCTTTCTTCTCTCCCCTTTGCTCAGTGTCATTCTCAGAGCTATTGCAGCCCTCATCCCAGGAACTGAGAAAGAAACAATTTATGGGATGTTTCTCTACAGCTGGAGGAAGGACAGGGTTTAAACAGTAAGGCAATGAAGTAGGCCACAGAAGTTTATGGGCATTGCCTCTCTGTGATGGCCCAGTCTCTATGTGGTATTCAAGCAGTATGTTGTCTGTATCACGAGACAGAAGATGGCCAATGTTTTGTACTCCATCTCTGTTCTGCTACTGCCTGCTCTCCTAGATCTGCATACGTACCTCTCCAAAGGTCCGCTCCACCTTCTATCTGAAAGTGATGCCAGTGTTATGTGTGGCATCCTGAGGATGTTCACTGGTTAACTCCCTTTTGACTTACAGCAGCTACAGAGATTCAGAACCTTCCATCTCCCTTAGGGATGGACAGGTATCCAGGGAGAAGCACTACAGACTGAGACGTACAGCAGCACAAATCTTGCTATCCTTTCAAACACATTTTTATGAAGGAATAAAAGCTTTTTGGCATGAGTTTATCTGCTTCTCCAGGGTCCTTAATCCACAAATTTCTTGCTTAAGTCAGTCTCTTCCCTTGCAGAGGTGATAAATCCCATGTGGTGACATATGTGCCTGTAAAAACAGCCTGATATTACAGGGAAATTATTAGGTCTTGTAGGCAAAGCCCCTACAACAGCAGTGAGCAAGATGTAAACAGCTCAAAACTGAGGTGATTGAAAAGGAAGCAGAAGTCTGTTATGAGCCCAGGCAGACTTCTCTTTTTTTCAGTGGGACTTAGTACCCATATTTAAAAGCACATTGCTCAGCACTCACCAATTTTGTTTTTTCCTTCTTCATATTTCACTCTTTGTAAGATATGGTGTACAATTCTACTTCTTGTAGCATTATTGAAGAAAGTTTCTTTGTTGTGTATGATGAAGCTATATAAAAATACAAACAAAAGGCATCTCAGGAATATACAGTAGCACATTCAAAGCAAATACTGAGTTCCATTACATTCTATAGATCACTAAAAATCTTCACTATGTGAGCAAGTGCAAGGAAGATTAAAGAACACCAGATTAAATGACATGATGTCAGTAACAGTATTCATTCCCTAACAAAGAATTACATGGAGAAGTCTGAAGAAATATCAAAGATATTTAAGCATTCATTATGTTAAGCAGCACTTTTAGGTAATTCACTGAAAACTACAAAGTACTTGCACAAAAATTTGCAAAAGAGTAAGATTTATAGATGCAGCTGTAGAAATTCACATTTGATTTCTATTTCAGGCTTTTTTATCATGCTTTACAATTAAGAGTCAGATGGAAATATCTACTTGGTAAACCCCTCTTATTGAAAATCAAAAACTATGTTAGAAATGGAAAATATTATTTCCTCCTATGTTTAGTCCTGAAAGTTTAAATAGAGTAGAGAATTAGCTTTTGGAAACTACATACAGAGTTATGTATGAATGCAGGTTTAATAACTTAGCCAGAATTGTGATGAGTCTAGGAAATTTAAAAATTAAAAAGCCACAGAATGTATCGTATTGATTACATTGGTAGGCATAGTATATTTTAAATAGATTTCTTAATCCCAATATACATACTCAAGGCAATAAAATGTTTTCCATCATTGCCATAATTACTGGAAAAAGGCAAAAAATTTAAGTGTTTAGAGGTATTGTTTTAACTCGTCAATTAAATACTGCTAAAGAAGTCTTACAGTTGCTTGAGGTGTGTAGGGCTTCAGGATAGACTGGGAAATCATATATGGCTTTGCAGTTCCTGTCATTTGTAAGTACAGGCAAGAAGTTGAACCTCTGGACTTTGGGGACTCCATATGCTCCCTCTTTATTATCAAAATTCTCTGCTAAATTTTCCATACAAGACAATCTGTAAGTTCCTTATGTTTGGCTTCAAAGGCAGATAGCAAAAAAATTCCCAAAGTAGAGGTATAAAAGACTGTTATTTAGAGGTTACTATCTAGCGTCTCTTTTCCCACTCCACCCCAGATACAGGTCATTTCTGTGTCCACAGTCTACTCAGTACTGTACTTCTTGCTTCCTCCACATCCCTACTAATCCCAAAGTCCTACATGTGTCCCACAGTATCCTACAGTGAAGGTGATTTGATTTATGCATATTGGTTGACCCCCATGTGTGTGCCAGTTGACCAATGAACTGTTACCAAACAGCATACAACAGTGTGCACTGGCCACTGCCTTTTCTGCATAGGCACAATTTTGGGCCACTATTCCATTTCAAGCTGCTGATACTCATAAAGTAAGACTCTGCTTATTTTTGAGACAGCTACATCTGTACCAAATTTATTTGAAAGGGATCAGTATGTAAAATAATAACTATTAAAGGATTTTGATAAGGAAATACTGTCATCACACAAATCTTAATGCTTTATCACATAAAAAGCTAACCTAAACTCTGAAGTATACAGAATAGCATTATTTCCAGCTGAAGATGGAGCTCTGTATTAGTTGTTTTAGTATACGTTATTTTAGTAGTAGCACAAACAAATTAAAAATCAGTAGTAAACCAGAAATGAACAGTTAGTGGTTTTCACAATTTTAATTTTCTTTTAATGCCTGACTTTTGTCTCCAAGATCTCACCTCTCAGACTGCACCGAATGTTAAAAAACTGTGAAGATAACTTATGAAACCAAAACAGCACAGTAATTTTTCATTCTGACTTAGCTATGAGTTCTAGTAGGATTCAACTGAGAATTGAATGACCTTATCTGGAAACTAGTAAGATTGATCCAGCTAGCACCAATAATGTTAATCTATTTTCCTTGTGATATAAAGTTATTTTTTCCACCTGTTATCATGGCTATGTTATACTGCAACTACAGGTAGTGATTTCAAAACTTTTTCAGACAAGTAGGCTAATAGTTTTTCTGCACTTAGTCACTTCTGTTTTCATGAGTCATGAATGAAAAAAGGGAAAAAAATCAAACACTATGCAATCTTACTAAGAAACCCCATCTACCTGTTTAAAGAAACATTTTTGTCATTTGCATTCATTTGTAAATTTAGCAATTGTGTTGTTATAGCTTTTGATTTCACACGGCCAAGAAGGAATAACCACATGTGTCTGTGAAGCAGATGTCAACACCTCTATAATAACTGCCAGAACAAGCTAAAGTAGTTCTAAAACACATGTATAAGAGCTGCAGGGGTTCTGCCCTGCCTATTCTTGTGCCAGTAATAGGCATATGATGGCAGGAGGGGGAGAGGAGGAGTGTTTTCCAACATTATTCATGGAGACACGAATGCAGAAGAGATGCTACAGTTTAACAAAAAGGAGTTTTGGGACGGAATTACATGTGGCAAAGGTTAAAAATAATCCCCACCTAATCTTTTTAATATAAAAATCACAGGCTTTAACTCAAGTACTTAGGTAATTTCTGTGAAACTGTCTGTAGAGTAGCCCCAGAAAGAGCAGTATCACCATAACCAAGGGGGAAGGGAGATCTGGCACAGGAAACAAGAACAGGCAGACATGAATGGGAGGCATTGAAAGGTTGAGAATATCTCAAGTACTTGTAACTATGTGTTACAACATCCCAGCTGGATGTTGACAGAAATAAGGACAATGCCAGGGAAGTTTAAGTTTATCTCAAAAATCATGGGAGTTGCTCTTGTCAGGTGAGTATCATGCACTTCAGTGTAGGACTTCCTTTTTTTCCACAACCTTTCTCTCCTATGCTTCATGGGCATTTCTTCCTCCAAAACATTTTGCTCCAGGTTGTCTTCTTTCAGAATGCAGTTGGTAAATCCATATGCATAGAACAGCCATCAAGGCTATTTCACAGTCTCCAGCATCCAATGAGGAATTCAGAGGAGAAAGACTTCCTCAGTCTATGGAGAATCTCACCCATCAAATTTCAGTTCACAGGGGCCAGAGCCGAAGACATTTCCAAGCTAGCTGTAGATAAACATTCATCAGACATTACTGAGCTATAAACTCCATAAGGCAGAGGCTTTCTAGAGAGGTTTTTAATCCTTGTTGCTTTCAGATGGAAGTTTCCTCACCTGTTCTGTTTCTGCTGTCTTTGTTAGAATTTCAATAAGTAAAAGGGTTTAAATGTTCGTGAGAGCAAAGAGCTTGTTTCCAGGCTTAGTAAGAGTTTCGTACATTGAAGGTTTTGATCACTCTGTCACCTCATTCGTAAGATAAAAAATGAGTAAGGATTAACACACTATTATTTTTATTACCCATAAAGTTAATGCATAGTAGACAATAAAGCCAGTGATTTGTTCCACAACAGCTATAACTGCTGGCCTGGTCCTGTAAGTCTTATTTGTGTGAGCTGTCCTTATTCAAAAGGAAAATCCAAATGAAGATAATGAGAGCACTTCTGGCAGGAAAGGTTCCAGAGCTGATCCTTAATTAAAGCCCCTTTTAAAAATGTCATTGTGGAAATATTGCTCTTACATTCATACTGTAAGTGGCACGAAGAGTTGGTGAAGGTTAATTGCTTTGAAATTCTATTTGTAGCTTTCTTAATTTGAGTCTGAACCAGAGATTTCAAACTATCTTTCCATGGATAACAACGCACCACAAAGCTAACTGTCATCTAAAGAAGATCCTCTAATGTGAATTCAGCCAAGAACAAACTACCAATGAATTCCTGTTCATACATTCTCTTTGGTAATCTTGCAGGTTGTACAAACCCTTCAGGGTAAACCATTGAAAAAACCAAAAAAGGTTACTTTTCAATTTTTTTTTTTTTTTTTTTTTTTTTTCTCTTTGAGGAGCAGGGACAGGGAAAGGCTATTTTCTGCTCTACTGGTAAGATATACAAGCTGAAAGCTGAACAGCCATCGCCTAGTTGCAGAGCCACAAACTAAGGATGTATGCATGTACATATGAATGTCCAGCTTTGCTACACAAGATCCCCAGACAATGAAACATTTGATGTCTTTGAATAACCTGGTCTAGTAAAAGGTGTCTCTGCCTATGGCAAGGGGTTGGAACTAGATGATCTTTAAGGTCCCTCCCAGCCTTAACCATTCTTTGATGTTATGTCTGATATTCACCATGTTAAAAAGTATGTTCCAAGCAAATGACAGTTGCTGGAAACAGGACCAACTGAAAGGAGAGGTATCATCCGAAGTAGTAATCACCATATGAGAGGTATATTCTTTAGTACAGGAGAAATGTCCAACACTCTGCACTCCCAGGTAAACCCGTGGCAGTAGCTAGCTGTTGTTGGCAGAAGCAATAGGAGGTTTTTACCTCATTTAACATCAAAGAAAATCATCAGCTGTAGTAGCAGCAACAAGATGAGCCTGCACCATTCCAGTGAGAATATCAGCACACATCCCTGTAGTTTGCTTGAAAATGGGTATATAATTATTACTTTCTGTTTATTTTAATTTTGCCTGACTTCTAAGGCTGCAGCTGACTTTTTTGTTTATCTAAAAGACAATGTTTATTAACAGTTAAGGGATTTTTCACATCATGTGTCTAAACCAGGATCACTTTGGTATGTATTAGTGGCTTCATCTATTTCAGATTTGGCACATCACAGCCTCAAAACTGCTAAAGTAAAACAGAGTTGTGAAAGTGCAGAATCTCTCCTCCACTTTCCTCTGCCCTTTCCCCCCAAATCACCCAGATCACTTCTTAGTTTAAATTAGTTCAGTCAGGAATATTCATCTGAGATAGAACAAACTTTATGGATTTTTCAGGGACGCCCTGTTTCATTCAGTTTTCAAGGCGATTAAAACTTCCAGAAACAAAGAGAATTTAAAACACCAAGGCATTTCCAAGTCTGGTCGCACAAAGTTTTGTTTAAGAGCAGGAATCTGACAGAACTGATTCCCTGTTTTCAAAAAATTGAAAATGTGTATTTATGATACCACAGATGTATTTAAACACAAGAACGACCATTCTGGTTCAAAATGAGTAAGTGTCCACAGAGCCCTGTGCTTCATCACCAGTGGCAGCAGCTCCCTGACCCACCCATGATCTTGGGGTGAAGCAGCTCAGAGGAACATGGGCACAGACAATCTTGGTAGGGATAGAATTTATTAGGGCCAAACCGAGCACCAGCAATGTAACTCCAGCCTGAGAGACCCATATCTTGGAAATCTGACAAAGATACACGATGGCATCCTCATGTAAGACAAGGGGACATCTTACAAATGAGAATAACTCCATTAACCCCTGGTATGCAGGGCATCTTCGTTTAATTAATCCAGATACTGTCCTAGTCCTCTTAAGTGTGTAAAGTTTTTAACCTAATTTTCACTGAAGTGATAAATGTTTAAGTGGTTTATTCAATTATATATTAGATTAATATTTAACCTGAGAGTGTTGCCTTTGGAAGAGAAAGAAGAAAAAAAAGAGGAGAAATAGCTCCTGATATAAAGGTTGAAATCTCTAAACAGCAATTAAAAGCATTTTCGTAGCTATTATACAGCTATCTGAGAAATTGCAGCTAATTACTACTGTTCCTATTCCCAACTGATGAGCATCTCACTACATAAAATAACTAAGTAGTAGTAGAAAAATAACTAATTATCATCATTGTCTGATGGAAAACATTTTTTCACACATTGTGAACTGCATATTCTTGTAACTGATAATTTTCAGAACAAACGCTTTGGCATAAATAAAGTCCTTCCCAAGCTGTGGCTGCAGAACACAGATATTACTCAGAAAATTATCATTTTGAATTCCACACAATTCCAAAAAAATGCTTGCCTCAGCCAGGCAGAGTTTCTTTCCTCCAAAAAGAGATTTCCTATTACTTAAGAAATAAAATGAATTTCGGTCTTCTCTTGTACTGATAACTTCGTGATGTACCATAATCTCTTTAAAAGAAAACCTGAAGCTAGGCTGCGAAAGTTACAGGCACTTCTTACAAATGTGATTCTTGCATTTCTTTGCCTGTTTGGGAAGGAAGGCAGATGCCTAGCTGTGCCCCTGAGAACAAATGTAGTTTTTTTCCTGAAAGCTAGCCTTTTTTCACATCTGGCCTTTTCCACCTGAATGGGAAGAAAAATGCAAGAAAGAAAAAGACCATCAATATGGTCTACTACAGCTTCACATGCTCATTGTACATCAATATGTCAAAGATATTCATTCCTATTTACAAAAGGTCTTATCAGGCCTTGCTGATTTTGGTCCTATTTTCCTCCCCAAACTCTGTATTGTAAGTATTGTCATCTGTCTTTTTACACTTTTAAAAGCAGCTATCACAAATGAAGACTGTACTTAGACTATGTTAGAAACAACATCTGTATCGTATTGGAGACCTGGATGTCAAAACTGTGACTAGATCAAAAAAGATAAACTACCTGTTCTTTGATGAAGTGAAAAAGGTCTGAGGCTATGAAGAAAGTAAGAATTAAGGAATTTCAGGCTAAAATTGCAATATTGCAATATTTGGACAAACATGAAACCTGGACAAGCTCATACAAATATCTGAGGAATAAATTTTAGAAAATTAGAGGCACATAAAACCAGGAAAGAAGGAAGAATTCTCCAGCTATGGTATGTGTAAAACCTACAGTGAGGACACAGAGATCTCACCTGAAAACTCAGTTTATGGAGATTTATAATTCCAAGTTGTATTTGTGAATGACTTACTACATGGCCAGTAAGAAGTTGCTCAGTGTGTCTTGTAGAAATATTATTTATGACAACACAGAAATCCTAGATATGTTCAACTAGAAAAAGCACATATCTTGCTCTCCAGAAATACTTTTTCAATAGCCAGAAAAATCCTTCTTAGTGTAATTAGAAGACTGATTATATGCTTTAGGCTCGTGTGGCTGTTTCTTCAAGAATAGTTTAATGTACTTCCCACTCATCTCTTCTTCTCAGTTAGGATCCCAGATTTCAAGAAAATTTTATCTTTTTTACTATAAACTCGAAACTCAAAATCTGAACAGAAGATCTGATTAAAAGCAGACACTAGTGACATTTTTCAGCTACCAACTTCCCACAGTGCACAAGGACTGAAAGCATTGTATTTATTTTCAATTCTTTGAGGACTTCAAGAACTCAATACGTTACAAACATTTTCCTTCTTCAAAAATGTCCCTGTGTTGGCTGAAGTCTTAAACAACACTGAGGTCAGCCAGTTGAGAATTGATGTGGGCCTGGGACCCTCCCTGTCCTGTGCACATTCTGTCTGAATCAGTTTTGGCACAAGTATGTGATGGAAGCAGATGCAGAGTCACATCTAAAAGCCCAAAAGTAGAGAAGAGACTGTCACTGTTATTTTAGCCTACAGGATGATGTACTTGTTGAAGACAATAGGAACTCCACAAGTAAGTGGCCATGACTACTATGTAGCCTCCACTGTCATTGCATTGCAATTGTGAAGGTTACTACACTTAGCATTGGGCACAAGAGAAATCATCTTCTCAGTGATCAAACCCTCCATTGGCACAAGTGATTCAAACAAATGAAGGTGCAAGTCACAGTAATTGATACATCAGTTAATATGTGTTGGGTTAAAGATAAATAAAAAAATCAATTTCTACTTATACTTTCTGCATGTCTGGGGATAGGCAAGCATCTTTATTACTGGCTCATTATACATACGCTTTCAACAGAATGTTTATGTATTTCTTGGAAGAAGCTGTAATTTGGTCAAAGCAAGCAGCAATTTGTACAAAATCAGTGAACCCCAACATAATACACCTCTGATACTAATAAAATGATTCTTTTAAACTCTACATTTCCAATTATTTGATACTTGCACTCCACAATCACAGATTAAAAGCACACACTAAAGATGTTCCTTAAATGCTCTGCTTACCAACATACCCTGAAATTCTTGAAACAATTAAAACACCTGCATGCAACTCGCTAGATGAATATTGAACAAGTCATTATGTTTCAAAATTCTAGTGAAGCCGAGTAAACCAGACAGAGCCAACAGGCTGGAGCATAACAAGAACACAAGAATCCTGTCAGAGCCAGGACCTTTTGGGAGAAGGAGGGCAGCTCAGCCAGCATTTTATCAGTCCCCACACAGAAGGAAAGGAAGACTACGAAGAAAGCAAAAGAGAAAATGTCAGGCCAGCTGGGGAGTACAGCTTCAAAGTTTGCAATGATGTAAAAGGAGTGCCAAACAACAGCTGGAATGTTAACTGAACTACCACAGCATTTAACAAACCCTTCCTATCAGTTTACCAATGCAAACAACAGCAAGGCAGAATGAAAAATTACTCTTGTTCGTATATGCTCTCTTTTTTTTCGTGACAAGGCACTAATTTGAAGGCACAAAGACATGAATTGATTTTTCCCAAGGTGAATACAGAAGGATAAGTTTTCATTTTGTAATTAAGATGTAATAAAACACTCACTGATGGATCCTTTGTTGACTGAATGGAGCAGTATAGCAGTCATTCTCCTCCAGATCTGGCAGTGTCTCCTTGTCCAGTTTCATTGGCTTTCTAGGTAACCATCCTCGAAACCTGCTTATTTGTTTCTCGATCCTGCAGCAGATGAAAAGTATGAGCATTTGAGATAGTGTTTTTTCATTACTTTACAGAGCACTTACAAAGAACACATGTTGGCAAACTAGGCCACCTAATATTTACAACTAGAAAAGATGCAATGTCTTTGGGGTTTTCTTGAGGCAGACCAAATTCTACATGCTGAACTTGATTGTTAATAACCGGCTTTCATGAGAAGAGCATCTTATTTTGTCTAAACAGAAAAGCAATTGTGATGGTACATGCTGCTATAAAACTTATTAATCCCAGTAGGCTCTTAGCAACTCTGTAAGCCTTTATTTATTTCTCAGCTTTTCAGTTAATTTAAATTTCAGGCTTAAGTGACGTATTAGGCTTTGGACATATAAATTTTAGAACAGCAGAGACCGTGACAGGAAGCTTTGGGAGCTAAACCCCAGCAAGTTGCATCCCTTTACTGCTGTCTGTATGGATTCTTACCTCACAATTGATGTTATAAAAAATAGGCTACTTCTTTGTTAATTTTGTTCAGTTGTAGTGTCTTACAATACTACAACCTCCGTGAAACCAGAATATTCAGTGTGTAGATTAATAGGTGACTATCACACAGATTTTTACATTTAGAATGTAAAAGCAAGCTAAGATCAAGATGGAGAAATGGCAGATTTAACTGTAAGTTCACTAATTCAAAGATGCACACTGAAATGGAGGCAGAGGGAAGAACCAGAGCTGATTGAAGGAGACAATTTAAACCAAATTCAAATAAAACCTAAAGTATATAATAAAAACACATAAGAAAGATGAGATATGTCTGGCACAATGAGCCCTACTGTCTCATTTCTTAACATCCTCAAGTCATAATCAGTGATCCCTGCCTGCAAAAATAATAGACTACAAATTATAGACTACGCGCATACTTCAGTTGCTGGCTTTTTCTAGGAGTGGAGCTAAAGGGCATGCATGAGTCAACATCCTTTGAACTTTAACTCCAGTTCTGGGTGAAGCTCAAGGACTGGAAATGTAGTTGTTTCTTTTTTTGACATAAGTCAGCACAATAACTCTGTGCCCAGCAGATGCTGTGAGCTCTGCACAGTCATTTTGAGGGAGGGCAATCCATACCCAAGCAGCTAAGTGTGTGGGAAAGTGATGTGAAATTATTAGCAAACTTTCATTTAAAATACATATAAGATTTCCTAGGATATACAACCCTCTCCCATCAGAGAGAGCTTTTTTTAGTAAGAAAGCTAATGGTAATTTTTAAACATGGACACATTTCAAAATTGTAACCAAATTAGTCTACTTGTTTGCTACCATTTGTGTATTTCCAGTCTGGGAATAGCATGGGGAGGTGTGCAAACTTACCCTCAGGACTGTTTGGTGGAATGTGCATGCAAACATAACATAAGACACTAAATTAATTATCAACTCTTCATGGGCAGTGTTTGCACTGGCCCAGCAGTACAGAACACAGGAGGAGGCAGTTTGCAAAGTGCAGGCAATGTCTGATCCCAGGGTTGTAAAGGGCCTGACCAACTCTAATTCTGGAGCTGTAAAATCCAGCCTGACAGCTTTGAGCAAATCTGTGCAGGCACTGACAGGAACGACAAAGGAAAAGTAAGTTCTCTACAGGGGAATTCCCTGTCTCTTGACCTCCAGTTTTTCCTCTGTAAAGGCCACAAGCTCTACATTCTTGTGTATTCAGCAGGCTTAGTGACTCTGAAAAGGAAGAGGAATCAGGCAGAAGGGTTATCTAAATATCCTGTTCCATGCTTATTTGTTAACTAAAATCGTTTGAATTCTCCAAGCTATTAACACCCTTCCTAATCTGCAATTCTTTCCCATTCATCCTTCAAGTCAATGTGCATGTTTGAGATACGCGTGCTGCAGTTTTATCATACCACACATGCACGCATGAAGGCACAGAGTGATTTCCCCACTTAAGAAGAATGCATTATTCATGTTGGCTTCTCATGGAGTGTACCCAGAATTTGACTGGTTTGCTATTCCCAAGGCTAAGATTACTTGGCATGCTCAGTGAGCCTTCTGGCAAACAGGTTTGAGAAGGTTGCAAAGCTTTTCTGCAAGGCCCAGAACATACAGTACAGCCATTCCTAGACAAAAAAGAAATAAACACAACCTATTTATCTCTTTGAAAATAAAAATGACCAGATTCCTAAGTTGCCTTCAGCTCACTCCAACTGTGTCATCAGCCATCAGCACAGGCTTTGTACTCTATTGGAAAATCTCTTTAAAAAAAAAAGCTGAAAAAGTGGTGTTGATGCTAACAAACACAGACGCACAGTGTTAAAAATCTGCTGTGTTTTATCACTTTTTCAAGGCTAATGCATGCCTTATTTTCCCTTATAGAGAAGTTTATATGCTCAGCTGAATAGGGGAATGATGTTTGGAAAGCAGAGCACCCTACACAAGAACAACAGAGTGCATGGAGTGATGAGGCACTGTACAGTTAGCCAAAATGAAAGAGGAGAGAGGAAGATCTGAAAATTATATCCTTCTTAAAATCCTTCATTAAAAACATTTGTTAGCCTCATACAGAAAAAAAAAATATCTCAATTCACAGTATCTCAAAGACAGAGTCTCTTCAACTTCAGTCCTGCTCCTGCTCTCCAAGTCTAGTCTCTACTCAGTATTCTTGTTCTGAAGATACATATTCAGCTTAACTCACAAAATAGTTTTCTCAAATAATTTCAAAGAAACTATTTTCTCACTAGGAAGTGGGGTAGGGATTGAATTGTTTTTTCAAAGGAAGTTAGGAAAATAAAAACTTCGAAGTTTTGAATAGAGACTGATTTTTATCTGCTGGTCAGCTTTGCTAGAGCTTTACACATATTGTAGAGCTAGATATTGTCTTAGTTTTTAGCCAGAATGCATGTACTGTATAGGTACCACACTCTTCCTTTCCTCTAATATTTATAAAGGCAATTTTGTTATTTGAGATCACTAGAATTTTTAAGAGAGGAAATTCAAGTCAGGTTGACAAGTTGCTAGTGACCAGCTCTGGGCTTTGCTTTGTAACAAAAGTCCTCTTTAAAATAAATTTTGCCCAAACATCAATACAATCCTTGGCTAAGCTCAAAAAAATTGACCAAGGCTGTAGTTACTTGTAATCTTCACTGAACTAGAATCAGAGGAAATAGATAGTTTTATTGAAGTTGTATATCTGAGTTTCACATAAATGAAAATAAAGCTGAATATGTTTTCTTTTTTTCCCACTGGGACTATTCAGTTGCAGCTTTTCCTCCTCAAGTAGCTATGTATAGACCTGAACATAAAAATTGAATTTAGCCAAGTGGCCTCATCACTCAGGAACTAAAATACCAGAAAAAGATCATACCTCTTCCCATAATGATTTCAAATCACATCCTGACTCTTAAGAAAAGGAATGGAAAATTTCATACACCACATATAAACATTAGAATCTTCACCTACTCCTTCCTATCTATTGCTTTAGTCAAAGCAGCCATGTCTTAATTAAAATCAAGACAAATTCCAAAGTTAACAGCCGCTATAGTATTTATTGTAAGGCAGGGATGGAAAGTGGGGGACGATCAGCAAGCTTTATAAGAATGGTGTGCGTCTGTTAGCCTGGGCTGACTAGGTAAAATGCCTTAACTCCACACTGTCTGCAAAGCGATACAGATGTTTACTCCAAAATGCAGATTTTCCAAATTTAATTCTTCCCTCAGAGGTTCATGGGAATATTTCCACTGACCTCAGAGTGACACAGTAAACCAAATGCTAGACCCTTTTAAAAGGTACATCAACAACACTGTGCCATTAAATGGTAACATATGATGTGGTCTTTGCCAAGCATGTGTATTTTTTAGGCTTTTTAGAGATATTTTCATTTAATTGTCTAAGGTATCAAAAAGAAAATGCAAACTGCAGCATTAGAAATTTTTCACTGCATTGAGCCAGACATAAACTAGGCATCAAATATAACCTTGAAGATATTTAATAACTGACTGAAAGCACTTCAAAGATTCTTGAAAAATACTCTTCTCTCAAGCTCAATAAAGTTACATCAGAGATGAACTTGGTTCATTGCTTTCCTATCTATCAACGAAGTACTGAGCATCCCCACAGAGGAAGCAATAAATAATTAATGGCATCACTATTACCAGTAAGCAAGGTGCATGGAAATGATGGAAATACAAAAAAAAAAGAACAAAAAAAATCCCCAAAACAACTGTAGCTGAGATATTTTAACACCAAGAAATTCCCTAATGAGCTACATGAAAAGAAGGAGATACAGGTGTTTACACTAACACACTGCTTCTTCTTTAAAAGACTCCATTGACTGAGAAACATTTCCTTACTCCTAAAAAAGGCAACACTGATAAGATGAATTGCCTTCTTCACATTGCAGATACCTTAAAAATGAAACTTCTGTATTTGTTTTTGCAGATGTTCTAGTGTGTAATTGCTCCCTCCTCCCGTCCTATAAACACAGCTAATAAACTTTTTATTCCAGCTTGACCTTAACCATCATTTTTATTGGACCGAAATGAACATAAACTGGGCTGGCATAAGAATCGTACTCACCTATTCATGAACTTGTATCGACGGTGCAGGTAATAGATTTTTCTCCTGGAAGAACAGCAAAAATGAAGCCAGTCGAGAAGAAAACCCATCGTCAGTTACAGTATGAACTAGCAAGGAAGGAAAGGAGATTGAAGACAGAAGCCTGTAAGAGGTGGAGGAAGAGACTAAAAGAGAGATTAACAGAACTGTCACAGGAAGCCACAGACACTCTGGTGGCATTTGAATTGCCAGAGGGTCATACTTTTCCCATTGTCTTCTCCTTTTCTGCTGTTTGTCATGTGTGAATGACAGGGACCCAAAGGTAAAAAACTTTATCTGGTGAAATACAAGGGGGAATCACTTAGGAAAGCAGTACCTGCTGCTTCAATATGCTGTAACACATGCAGTACCGACTGGGACCAGTGCTTGCTCTTAGGGTGACATCCCTTGAAACAGAATATTGGCTATGCAAACAATCGAGCATGTGCTTGACACCCCCCACAAGTATGCAGCCACTCCCTTTGCCCCTCATACAGGCACAGCTGATTTCTGTTGTCAGTGCAATAAGCTGTGTGGGAGTGCACATGGGGAACAAGTGAGCAGACAAGGGTGCACAAGCAGACACATGCTGACCATGCTCTTGGCCTGTTTCCCAACCAGACCTATAGGGCAGGGTGGCCCCCTAACCAGAACCAGGAGTCCACCTCCCATCCCACTCTGCTTCTAGCAGCTCTTGCTCTCCTTGCGTGTGCCTATACCACCACAGCCATCAGGACTTGACCCATTGCCTTCAGCAGAGAGATCATGTCTTCATGAAAGTTAAGAAAATCTGAGGGGTTTTAGAAGTGGGCTTGAGACTGATGCTCCTTACTGGAAGATTTCAGTGCCTTGGAAGCAAGCATGGTTGGGAGCTTTCTATAATAACACAGCACTGATGCTTTATAATCTATAGTAAAAACCCTAGTTAGTATTCCAAGTTAATTTTCAGAACTTACAATTTACATAACGCATACAATTTTGACATTATTTTGTTCTCAGTGTCCATAATGTGCTGGTGAAGAGAAATTTTCAAAACAGTTTCATGGTGGCCAGCCTTCTTCAGCCAACTCCTCCACAAGATAGTGTTATTTATCTTGCTCTACTCAGCGGGAATAGACAAATGTCAAAGCCAAGTGTTTCTGAAGGTGCCATCCACTTCTTGATATTCCTTCAAATATCCACTGTTTTGTCACTCCTGCTTTGAAACAGCAAGGACTATTCACTGATGCATGGACATTGGACAATTCTAACCTAAAATATTGGGAGCTATAAGCAATCAGTAGCCCCTAAATCAGGGGGTTAGACAAGGGCATCTGGACACAGGCAGTCTAGACTAGTGGACATTTTGTAAACAAGCTGGTCCTTGTTTTTAATTGGTAAACAGTACCATTGCTCTTAAAATAAAATTTAAGAGCCGACCCAGCAGACACTAGTAAATCACCATGATTTCCTCTTAACAGTACTGTAATAATTCTCTCTGTGTGTGTGGAAAGAATGAACCTGTGAACTTGAAGCAGCTCAAGAAACCTTTAGTATTTTCAATGCTTTCTGTATAATCTGAATGGCATCTACTTTGCCATCTGCTGAGAGAGAGATTTCAAAAAAGGGACTTCAGATCAGGAAAGAACAAGCTTCTCACAGTGCCTAAAATCTGAGTTTCTCGTGTATTTTTTTATCATGAGACCTTATCCCACTACTGGGGTAGGTTCATCTCAAGTAATGACACAGAATTCAAAGGAGGTATACTTTTAATCCAGCCCATTGTTTCTATAGCTAGAACACTTTTTGAAAATAATATAATCATGCAATGACTTGTGATAGCTTTTATATTTTTCTCTTTAGCACTAAGCACAAGAATCATAGAATCATAGAGTCAACTAGGTTGGAAAAGAAAGGACAGTTGAAGATCTGCTGTGAAAATTAAAACCAAAATATGTACACAATAAGCCTACAATTTTGTCCTTAATTCACTGCTACAGCTTGTCTCATACCAGAGGCATATTTCATCCTTAAGTAAGAAGAAAACAGAAGAAATCCTGCAAAGGACACCAACTCACTAGCTGCATGTTCTGGTCTGATGCTTTTCTTGCTTAGGAGTAATTCCATTAAAATCAATGGAGTTTTACATCTATAAGCTCTGCTAATTGAAAGAAGATTCAAGAGCTCACAGTTTATGGGTTTTGGTCAGTTTCAGTGGAAGTCTTTATGTTATTTTAACAGTTCTGATAACCAGCAGAGTAAAATCAGTATTTTACATAGGAAATTTCATAGCCCAACATGCAAATAATAATAAATGAATAATAAAAAAAAATCTGAATGACAATATGAAATGAATTTGGTTATCAGTAGCATTTAATATAACTACTTTTTTTTCTCCACAGAAAAAACCATTTACAGTCTGAATTGTTCTCCTATTAGAAGGGATACTTATTTATAATCTGTATTTTCATAATTATACATTATACAAGCAGTTTACAGGTGCTGAACATACCAGATACGTCCAACAGACATGCACTTTCCGTGCAGCCTTACGTACCTGGATCTTCTTGACCTCCCATTGATTTCAATGAAATGTCCATTTAAAAAACAGCAACGCACAAGTATGCAGGGGGCTCCAGCATTGAAGGGGTTAAAGGGCCTAAGGATAGAATACCCCATGAAAACAGCTGCACTACTACAGCTCACCTTAATTTCAAACCAGTATTGTATTGAAATTGCAGGCATTAACATGATAGAGCAATAAGTATGGTATCTAAGGTACCCCATTTATATTTTCTGAAGATGTGTAGTATCTTATAGAAGCGCTTTTCCATGTGCATTTTGGTGTTATTATTACATTAGCTTTACAGTATAGTGTGATTTTGGAGGTTGAGACAAAATACAACTACACTTACCTGAAAGGCATTCTTACATTCATTAGTTCAGCATATTTGCCCAGGACCTCCCAAGGGGCATGCAACTTCACAAAGATGATGTCACTGTTTGTTAGAGATGACTGCAAAAGAAGAATGAAACATGCACCAGGGCTTACATTTTGAAGTAAAAAAGAAAGAAACTGTGGTCAGTGGTCAATACGTATTTTTTGTGGTCTTGTGTCACCCCTCTCACTTCTGTTTCTTTCTTCCTCAAGTGTGTGTAGTTCTATCAGTATTTAGTTGTCTCACTTTCCTTCTAGTTTCCTAAAAGCCATGCTGTGATTCCTTTCTGGCCTGCATGTGCGTTTCCTTCAAATGGAAAAGGAGATATGGAAGGGAGGCTGACATGCAGCTGTGGATTATCCAAGTATGGGGCGGAAATCAGGTTGGTGGGTAAATCTGGGTCTGGAAGCTTGGTCCTGAACTTCAGCTAAAAGCTAAATGGCAAGTCAGGATCTGATTCTGCCAACTGACCTGATTTTCTGCACTCACACAGAAGTGTAGATGTGTGGAGGCAAATCTAGCAAACAAAGAACGTTTGTACAACAGTGTGGTCTTAATTAATGTTGCCCTACGTGGACAAATAATGAAGCTCCAGCTACAGAGCCATGGTCTCCAGCTTCTCTTCTTCCAGCTTCCCTCTTTGCAATATGAATTCTAAATGTTAGAAGTAAAGCCAGCAAGGAGAAAAGAAATCTGATGCTCCCTATAGCATAATATTGTATGGATTTGTTGCACAGGAAGGTTGAGGGCCATGACTATTCCAGCAAGACCTCTTCACAGTGCTACCATGTTCTCTTCCATGGGTTGTGTGGAGCATGAAGAGAGCTTTTTTGTAGGGTATGTGCACAAGAATTGCTGTTACCTAAAGGAAGGCTATCTAGTGAAGAATGGAAATAGGCAGTAAAGAGGAGAAGGGGAGAAATTTATGTTTGCTCTTAGGAAGAGAATAGTGCTTTACAAGAAAGCAGTGTTGGCTGAAGCCAATGTGAGAACACAGACAGCCACACATTAATACTGGAAGATGAACTGATCAAATTCTAATAAAAATAAATGAAATTCTCATAAAAATGCATACAATACTGCTTTAGACAACTTAATGGATGACAATAACAGGGATAACTACTACAGGCTGAGTTGAAGGAATACCCAGGAGATGGGTAAAGGTATACAGGCTATGAGAACAGGCAAGTGTGAAGACAGAAAACACGGCAAGAAAATTGTTACTTGGCTTTAGGGATCATTTCTTAATTTTTTATACATTGTGGTATATTCAATGTTTCTCACATTAATCCTTAGCTAACATAACTCACTAGAAGTTCGTAAATCTAGTATTGTTCATCTGGAAGCTACAGTGATTACCTGAGTGGGAGGCTGACATTTATACTTCTGATACCTATTTGATTCTCCCCCCACTATCCTGACAGATGCTGAGATTTTTGAAATTGCTATTGCATGTTCATGCCCTTAGAGCAGCTAAAACATTATTACCAGTTTTTCATGTGCTAGGAATGAAAGCTCCAACAGTTAAGACACATATATGCATATAATTTTCTTTAGTACATAAAAAACACACAAAACCCCCAAACAAACAAACCAAACCCCCAACCCAGTCACTATAGAATTAACATTATTTTAAACAAATAGCATATTGTAATCCTCAAAAATGAACACAGAAAAATATTTATCCTCAAAGTACTGTAAGGCTGCATGAAAAAATGGATTTAGCACATAATGGAACAAGTGGCTTTCTGGTATTAAAAACTGCAGAAAAAGTCTTGCTGCTCTTCTGCTGATGACTTTCTGAAAAATATTTCAACATGAAATGATAGAACAGCAACAAAATGCCCCAAAAAGACTTGCTTCAGAAACAATGAATTCAGTTGTACTCTTTTCATCGACTTTTATGGATTCTAAATCAGGCCTCTAATGATGTTTTTCTTTATACGTACATTTCAGAAATTAGGTTTTTGTTTTCCCATGAGACTTTAGCAAGTAGATATAACAAAACCAAGGCTAAGTTCTGTTATTCTAAAAATTTCCTGGAAACTACTCTCAAAGATGAGGTTAAGTCAGCAATGGACTGGTAATTTTGCCATAAACAAGCTCAGATAAAAACCAAACTATAAAAACATCAAAACTCAAAAGAACTGTCTAATAAGCCCAATATACAGAAGGAAACTATGGTCCTGATATACTTGACATTTAGAAATGTAGGAAATTTATTAAAAACAGCTTGTAAATTTAGTGATGGCTGTTACACAGCTTACAGGCTCTTCTTTAAAGAAAGCTTACAGGCATTTTCTAGCACATTGTAGTTTAAGCCACACTAGATATGGCAGCCACAGTAACATGACTTGTGGAAATGCTGTTTCAAAAGTGAACATTATCTTAATCTAAATTTGATTTCTTATGTGCTAAGTGTTGTCACACAAAAACATGAAAAACTTGCATATAGTTACTACAGTATAGATTTTTAAAGAATATCTTTTACTCAACATCTTGTAATGTTTTTTAATAGCTTTCTCAACAGATCTAACATTTGAGAGATTCAGTTATTTTCAGAAGAAAGAGATAATCATGTTAAATTATTAATATGGAAATCCATTTCTCTTGGGCTTGCTCATGTTAAGTGTTCACAAAGGATAGCGCCAGGAAAGCCTGAGAAAAACAGGACCAGAAAGAGAAGAACAAACCCAGATGGAGGAGTAATTGAATGAAATGTCACATTCACCTAATCTATGGAGAAAATAGCTAATCAAAATACCTAAAAAAAAAAAATAAATATCAAGAACACCATCTTAGTTACAAAAATACTTTAGTGAATGGAATCTCCTAACCTCTCTTTGCTAGGTTAGTATTTAGACACAGTCTCCTTCAGCTTCTAAATGTTTCATTGAGAGGAGAGGAGCATTCTTCTGTTGTAATTGGCTTTTGAGGCTTGGCTCATTAAATGGTTTGGAGAAGTAAACTCAATTTCACATTATGGGAACACGCAAAAGAAAATCAATGTAACATTGCTCCCCATGCAAATTTAAGTAAGATGACTATTGACATGACCAATCTGCGAGAAAGTGATGTCTAGATGATGAAGAAAGACAGACAGAGGAATTGAAGGGACAGACAATGAGATAAAACACTTTGCAAACACAAAAAAGGAATAAGTGTTTGAAATTGACCTGCAGCACTAGTGCCTGTAGAGTTATCACCATACGATAAGTGGCAGGCCACCAGCATTCAAATAAATTGGTTGTTTCAAATTGATTTCTTGAGAAGGAATGCCCATAGCAAACCAGATTTTCTTGTTGTCAATAATAACATTCTTGCTGGTCTTCAGAGCAGTGCACCAGTGTGACAAGAGACAAAATCAGAGAACTGCAGACTAATCTAGGTTGGAAGGGAACTCTGGGTATCATCTGGGCTAACACTAGCTAAAACAGGTCCAATTTAGATCAGGTTGCTCAGGAGCTTGTCTCATTGAGTCCTGAATTTCCCCACAGGCAGAGATTTCACAGCCTCTGGGCAACACACTTACTGAATTGGGCTGCAGAAATGAATATTTTCTATGGAAGAACTGCACTCTTCTCGAGAGAAATGCTTGTTGAAAACTACAAGCACTTGGACATGAAAATATACGAAAATTCAAAATATTCAGTGCAAAGATGGCATTCTTCATTAAACAACTTGGTCTTTACAAGATATTTCTTTTAATTATTATTCTGATTGAGAACCAATAGCAAGGTGTATATAGCTTAAGTGAACCCTGATCCTCAAAACAGGTTTGTATGATAGAATTCAGATTACCAGAGTTCAGAGTCTGCGTTACAGACAGTCAATATACAATGAGTTACAGTGTTCAGTGTCATTAATCTACAGTTTTTCACAGTCTGTAATTTTCCCCTCCTCCTGTTTTCCACTCCCCAACCCCCTTCTACAGCTAGAAATCATATTCCACAGTTCCCCAAAATATTAGATCAGTATTTGATAAACAGAAGTTTCTATGGCCCTTATCTCTGTACTGGAGATATTCACTAATTCCCAAATTTTCTGGCTTTGCTGACAAACCACTTAAGTACCACATCAGTGCTGCCAGTCCTAGAATACAGATCCACATATTACAGACTTGCCTTTCTGGCAAGACTACCTTCCCCCTTTACCATTAAGTATATGCAGACATAGTAATTCCCACAAAAACAAATTAACCACAGAAGTGTTTAAAAACAAAGCTCCATATTCTTCTCCAGTATCCCTATACAAGGAGTGGAAGAAATTAAAGTAGGGGCCAAAAGCATAAACACCTGCTTTGGTGAGTTGCAGTCATCAGCTAGGTCGAGGAAACCTTGTAAAGGGCAGGTTATTATTCTCCTGAACATGGACACAGAGTGATATTAAGTGCTGTATAATGTAAGTCCTGGCTACTAAACTCACATGTACTCATACAGGCATTCTACCTCCTTTTAATGGCAGGTTTTAAATAGATATATTCACTATTAACCTGACTCTGCCTGTTCTGAAGTTATTGTTAGTCTGAACAGAAGCAAAGTTATGCTGACATTAAATGTCTCTTGAAAAGCCCACAGTTTGCTGTATTTGCAGGCATTCTTCCAGGATCAAGGCTAGAGATTAGAATCTTTTGTAAAGTACCCTCTTGAACATTTTCATCCAACAAAGACTTTTTTTTTGGTTTTTTTTTTTTTTCATAAAAAATATTGTCAAGTCATTTTAAGACAAAAAAAAACCCTGTAGGACTCACCTTAATACAAGCATTTTTTGAGTCTAGAAGTTAAGAAAGTTGAGAAAAGAGATTCACAGCATATAACCTTGAAGAAGGATAAAATTACAGTGTCTCCAGTTGAATGGCGCAATTGTTAATCTGCCTTGAGGCTACTAGGGAAGGAACTGCAAAAAACCAATGCTTTCATTTATGTATGCAAAACAATAGGAAAAAGCAAGCAGGATTTACCACTAAGGTGTTTTCCCTATCAACATTTAAGAAAAAATACTCAAAATCATGGCTCTCCTTACGTTTTAAAGCCTTCCTCATATAAGTAAAAGGAGATAAATAAGATTTTGAGACAGA